ATGCCCGACGTACTGCTCAAGTAGCGCAACACCCTCTTAACGGCCTCCATGTGCTCTGGTCGGTGTCTCCGGGCGCAACGTAGCGTGCCAAGATGCTAAGAGGGTAAGCAAGGTCAGGTTGAGTGCAGGTCATCAGGTACATGAGGCAGCCCACAAGCTCTGGATACGTGCCACTCAGCTCTACGGACTCATCCGAAGGTGGAGCTGAGAGCGAGTGACCGGTAGGCAGAGGAGTAGACTGTGGCGAGGAGTACCGGAAGCCGAAGCGCTGAAGAACATGGTGCACCATGTGCCATTGAGTCATGGTGATGGTACGCCGTGCTCTGTCCCGGGTGATCTGCAAGCCAAGATAGTTGCGCAGCTCACCCAGGTCTGTGCACGCGTGTCTCTTCTGCAGCTCCGACTTCACAAGGCCAGTGCCTCAATGTGAGCAGTGGCAAAGACCAAGTCGTCGATGTACACGAGGATGTAGAACGGCGGCAACGAAGTGTCGGTGCGCAGAAGCAGCGACGGGTCAGCAGTCGAAGGAGCAAACTCAAGGGCCGCAAGTGTCGTCCTCAGTGTGTCGTGCCACTCACGGGGCGCCTGGCGGAGACCATAGACTGGCCGCCGGAGGCTCCACTGGGTACCAGGAGGAAACGACCCAGTGAAGCCAGGTGGGTGGCGCAGCCAGATCACCTCGTGCAGGCTACTCTGTAAGAAAGTTGTGCTGAAGTCAAGAGAGTGAAGCTCGTAGTCACGCTGAGCGGCGACGTGCAGGAGCACCCAACGAGTGGTCATCTTTGGGGTTGGGGAGAAGGTCTGGAAGAAGTCAACTCCCTGTCGCTGACAAAAGTCTCGTGCAACGTAATGAGCCTTGAAGACAGGCGAAGAAACTGGCGGCCGCTTCACCCTGAAAATCCATATGCCATCGACTATGTTTGCCCAAGGAGGGGGAATTGCGTCGACGTAAGAGCCTGCAGACTTTCAGGATGCCATCTCTGCATCTATGGCTGTCTGCCACTAAGAGGAGTAGGGACCTGTAATAGCCTCTACGTAAGTGCGCGGGGTCGGAATGTCTGGTGCATCCAGGGTCTCCCTCAGGTGCAAGCAGCATGGCCACGAAATAAGATACTGCAGCCGCAAGACACTCAAAGACCTCTTGCCTAACCTCAAGGACGTCCGTGCCAAGAGCACACTCACCTCCGACGGACGGAGGACAGATAGAATCAGACTCAGCAACTAGACTAGCGGCGTAGTCGAGACGACAGCTAGCAGCAAAGTCAACAAGCTCAACAACTAGGGCAGACTCAGCAGATGACTCAAACGAAGGGTCGGTGACAAGAGTGGCTAGAAGACATGTGGCAGTAGGACTGGCAGCACGAACGAGGTCAGACTCAGGGTCTGAACCCTCAGCAAGGAAAGACGTAAGAGTAGACGATAGGGAAACTCCCAGTGGAACAGAGGAAGGACGAAGTGCGAGAATGTGAGTCCCGGGGACAGGAGGAGGACGCGGACGAAGAACCCGACGACCAGTACGAACAGCGCGAACATGCGAGGAAGGACGAGACGCAGGCTCACGACGCTCTATAAGAGAGTCTGTCCGCTTAGTGTAAGGAGAAGGAGCAGGCAGTGGGGAGTTTGGCTGGAATTGTGGCTGCGACTGGTCAGGCAACAGTGGCAGGGGAGGAGTAACGAGTGACTACAGCGTTGTAGAGGGCTTTAGCAGTCTTGTGCTGGCCAAAGTGAGCGCGTTCGGCTAATGGTAGGTGGTTGCAAACGGCTAGGCGAGCAGTAGCGTCACGGGTAAGCCACTGTGAGCGAGTCGCACTGTCATCTGTGTCGAGAGGGGCGAGAGAGGCTCCAGACGTGTGGTCAAACAACGAATCACCGTCACTAGAATCGCTTAGTAGGTACAGCTGTAAGTCATTGAGCCACGTATCAAACTAGAGCGGACGGCCCTCAGGATCAAAGGTGAGAACACTGAGACAAGCGATACCTAGAAGAGCAGGGTGACGCGCGACCAGCAGGGAAGCACACAGGCAAGGGCGGCACGGCAGGCAGGGCGGCGCTCTAGGGAAGCGCACATGGCAGAGTGGGGCGGCGCACGGCTAGGGAAGAGCGGCGCGCGGCCAGGGCAGGGCGGTACGGCGGTCAGCAGGGCGGCATCTAGGCAGGGCAGGGTGGTGCTGCAGCCAGCAGAGCGGCACGCGGGCAGGGCTGGGTGGCGCAGCGGCCAGCAGGGCGGCTCGCGGGCAGGGCAGGGCGGTGCGGCGGCCAGCAGGGCGATGTGCGGGCAGGGAAGGGCGGCACGGCGCTAGGAGGGCGGCACGACTGGCAGGGCAGGGCGGCGCGCGGCTGGCAGGGCGGCGCAACGGGCAGAGCAGGGCGGCGCGATGGCTAGGGGAGTGCACATGTGGCCAGCAGGGCGGCGCGACAGGCAGGGCAGGGCAGCGTGCGGCTGGCAGGGTGGCGTGACGGGCAGGATAGAGCAGCGCACGGCCAGCAAGGCGGCGCGACGGGCAGGGCAGGGCAGCGCGACTGGTGGGGTAGGGCAGCGCGACTGGTGGGGTAGGGCGCTACGGGCAGCGAACTAATCGCTGGGCCCTAAAAAAAACGGTCATGGAACAGGACCTGCTCTGAAACCATGTCAGAGTCTAGACGAAGGAAATATTGTATTGAGAAGAAAGTTGGTACAAGTACCAACCCTAATTGGGTTGTACCCCATATAGGCTACCCCACTACAGCCTACACAGCACGAATATTTTAACAGTTTGACAGTTTTGAGAATGCCGTTGCACCACGAAGTTGATCCATAAGATCATCTTTGCACAGTATTGGAAGCTTTTTTTTTTCTATATGTATGTCAGTACCCGATAGTCAATACACATCCGCAAACAAGCGTACAGCTTTGGAGTGAAGAGTACCGGTGCGCCAGAGGGTGATGTGAAGGGTCGAAATAGTCTACGATCCATCAGGTATCCAATCTTCTTCTTCATATCTGCAAGTTCTGTTGGGCTGAGGCGATATGGTCCATGGAAGTTTGGCTTTGAACCTGGTTCTTCCACGATCTTGTACTGGTGAGCTCGCTCCGGTGGCACTCCTGGCGGTATGTCAGCAGTGCTCCTCCAGGAATTTTTGTACTGTTGCAGGTACCTCGGAGTTTGGCCTCTCCTGTTATGCTGCCATCAATGGTGTCAGGTATCCCTGGTTACTCTCGAATCATGCGAGTGTCGCTTAAGAAAATATGTTTGTATCAGCTTTGTAGCTCTACACATTTCCCGTTGTTGTAAATGCAGGCTTTCCCTTTGACACAATCAATCTCGCAGTGAAACCGCTTCAAGAAAAATTTTCCCAAGATGAAATTTGCGCCCTTGATGTTCGTCACTAGTAGTGTAGTCCTCCACCTCAGCGCCTCTATCTGTAGCTGTCGAGAAGATTCGCCGTGGATAGGTAGCTTGTTGTTGTAATGGTGCTGGCGAACAGAATCAAGAAGGTGCTGCAAAAGGTTATACCTGAGCACCTATATGGCTTCATGCCTAGGAAGAAGTTGGCTGATGCTGTCAACGTGAATGCGGATGTTATTGATGTGGCAGCGGCGGGAAACGAGGACTGGTATCTCCTCCTGGTAGACTTCCAAAAGGCATCTTCGATCTCCAGTAGGCAGATATTCAATACTTGGGAACGAATGAGTTTTTCGAAGGAATACGTGAGCTGGACCAAGAGGCTGCACAATCACTCAGGGACGCGAATGCTGATCAACGACTAGCTGGGAGAAAGAGTTGGAATGGAAAGAGGTTTCAGGCAGGGATGTCCACTTGCATCGTACTTATTTATATGTGCTGCAGAGCCACTCGGCCAAGAAATCAAGCAGAGGAGGCTGGGGGTACGGAAAAGAGGGATAGGCAAAATTGAGTATATGGGATATGCAGATGATACAACACTGGTGTTGAACTGGAAGGAACATATCAGCAAAGCGTGTGATCTGCTAGAGGACTTTGGAGGGAGGTCCGACCTCATAGTGAACCAAGATATGAACAGCTGGTCAAAAACAGATGCATCTCACCGCCAACAGATTTACCATGCACCAGGGCTGAAAGAGGGGAGCCGCAAAGACTGCTAGGGATCTGGATCACACCAAGTGGGGCCCCAGAGCCTTTGTGGGAGAACGTGGCTGATCGGGCTAGAGGGGCGATGGTAAAATGGCAAAATCAGCACATCTCAACGTCCTTGTGTTTTACGGTGCTCAACGCATATGCCACGCAGATCCTTCTGTTTCAGGTGCAGATATATCCACCACCATGGGGAACGTGGAAGGAATTCCATGCAACCAGCTACAATTTCACGTCCAGCGGCATATCATCACCTGATAAGTATTTTTTCCCTAGAGCAGTGTGACTGTGGTACTGTCGCAAAAAAAACAGCGGGAAGCACCTGATTCAAGGTGTGCAAGGCCGCAGCAGACGCAGTACCAGAGAGAGCAGACTCACCAGCACCTAGAGCAGCAGACTCACTAGCACCTATAGCAGCAGCCTCTATACCTGGGTCTGGCGGCATACACAGGGAACATTCACCCTCAGCACTAACAGTCAATGCATACATGGCAGCAAGGATAGCATCATAATCAAGAGCAAAGATATCCACACCCTGCCTAAACAGCTCTGCCCAGCAGAGGAGCTCAGTTGCGTCGGGAAACTCTGTGCAGAAGGTGTCGTCAAGACGAAAGAAGCAGCAGTACAATGTGTAAAGCTTCCCGTATGTTTGACCAGAGCGGTCACCTGTGCGAATGACATACGGGCAGCGACTACTACCCCCAGCCGCCCCACGCTGAGCAAACCACTCACGTAGCTCTTGGGGCGAAAGAGTCTCACGCTGACGCTGCTGCTGCTACCTCTGACCACCGCCAAGGCCTCCCCTCTGGCTGGTACCACCTCGGCCGCCACCACTGCCGCCGCCTCTATTCCCACTGCCGCCACCACTACCGCCGCCACCACTCCCACTGCCGCCACCGCTGCCGCCACCTACGCCTCCACCCCCACCACCACTCCCTCCGGCCCCGCCGCCCCCTCCATCGCCTCCACCGCTCCCACCACCGCCTCCACCTCTGCCACCCCACCGCCCCTGCCTCCCCTGCCCCTGCCGTCGCAGCGCCTCCCACTAGGGGCAGACGCAGCTCCCACCTCCTTAGCACGAAGGTAGTCAACAGCTGCAGCAGAGGAGACCGAGGGGAGGGCGAACACCCCTCAAAGAAGGGAGTGCGAGGAGTGCCACAAGAAGCGCCTACAGCGACTATGCTAGTCTTAGCTGCAAGGAGGTGCTTCTCAAGCAGGTCGACAGTGAGGTCTGTAGGGTCAAGGGCGAGAAGGAGGTCCCTGACAGCGCTAAGAGAGTCAGGGAGGCGGGTGACTATGAAGTAGAGAGTGATGTACATGGGAGGAGGGTTCTTGGTGAGGAACTCGGCGGGAAGTGCGGCTCGGTAGCGGACGTCACTAGTGCGAAGGTGAGTGACGGGGTTAGCGATTGAGGCAAAGGTGGACACCTCGAGGAACAGGTAGGGCAGTAGAAGGCGGCCAAGTGAAGCAGTGGCCGGGGAGGAGTAACGAGCGACCACAGCGTCATACAGGGCTTTAGCAGTCTTGTGCTAACCAAAGTGAGCGCGTTTGGCTAACGGTTGCGAACGGCTAGGCAAGCAGCATCGTCATGGGTAAGCCACTGTGAGCGAGTCGCACTGTCAGCTGTGGCAGCAAGGGCGAGAGAGGCTCCATACGTGAGGTCAAACAGCGAAGTACCGTCCTTAGAGTCGCTCAGTAAGTACAGCTGTAAGTCATCGAGCTAAGAATCAAACTCTATCGGGCGGCCCTCCGAATCGAAGGTGAGGACGCTGAGAGTCGCCATAGCGGGCAGAGCAAGCGAGCGCGGGTAGTAGCAGGGTAGCTTAAGCAGGGCAGGGTAGGGCGGCGGCTAGCAAAGCTGCGCACAAGCAGGGCAGTGTGGCTGCTAGCGGCGCATGGGCAGGGCAGGGCGCGCTGCTGGTGGCGGCGCGCTGGCAGGGCAGGGTGTCAAACATTATATATGTTGTGCTTGTTTAGGCTACAGTGGGTTAGACTATAGGGGGTACACAATTCTAGGGTTAGGTATTTGTACTGTTTTCACTCTTAGGTCATTCATTCCTGTTCGTTGATTTCCAACATGGTATAGAGCAGGTCCTTCCTAGGACCGATTTTTTTTAGGGCCCACCACTACCTACCTACCTACCTACCTACCTGCGCCCTAGGGCGCCTCGGTTTTCACGGCCCTTAAAGGCCCCGTCGGCCCACCCCTAGAGGCCCCGAACGGCCCACGCGCTCGCCCCTAGCGGCCCCTTTCGGCCCCGCGATCGCCCCTAACGGCCCCGTCGGCCCCTCGCTTACCTCCCTAGAGGCCCCGTCGGCCCCGCGCTCACCTCCCTAGAGGCCCCTTACGGCCCCGTCGGCCCCGCGCTCACCTCCCTAGAGGCCCCTTACGGCCCCGTCGGCCCCGCGCTCACCTCCCTAGAGGCCCCTTACGGCCCCGTCGGCCCCGCGCTCACCTCCCTAGAGGCCCCGAACGGCCCCGTCGGCCCCTAGAGGCCCCTTTACGGCCCCGCGCTCACCTCCCTAGAGGCCCCGAACGGCCCCGTCGGCCCCGCGCCCACTGCCCCTAGAGGCCCCGAAAGGCCCAACACTCGCCCCTAGAGGCCCGAGCGGCCGGTGACCGCCACAGCCCGGGACCGAACTGAACCGCGCGACCCGAGCCGAGCCGCGCGAACCAAGCCGAGCCGCGCGACCCGACCTGAACCGCGCCGCCCCACCCAAGCCGCGCCGCCCTACCTGAACCGAGCCGCCCTACCTGCTCCTCCTCCTCCTACTGCTGCTACTTCTACTGCTCCTATGGCTAGCCCACAGGTTCTAGTTTTCGATACTGAGGGCTGCCCAGTGAAGTTTGACACCTGGCTAGATGACCTGCACCTCTATCTACAGCTCACAGCCAAGGACGACATCTCACTGTACGACCACGCCCTAGGCCATGTCACTGCCCCTGCTGCTACTGCTGACAGCACTGCTCGCTCACAGTGGCAGACTCGTGATGCCCTCGCTCGCTTCGCTATTCGCAACTCCCTGCCGATAGACGAACGCGAGGACTTTGGCCAGCACAAGACTGCACAGGCACTGTACACAGCTGTCGTTGCTCGCTACTCCTCACCTGCCTCTGCCGCGCTAGGCCGTCTCTCCCTCCCCTACCTGTTTCCCGACCTGGCCTCTTTCCACACAGTCGCTGACCTCATCACGCACCTCCGTACTAGTGAGGCCCGCTGAGTTCCCTTGCCACGCACCCCCCCCCCCACTCTGGCTCACTCTCTACCACCTAGTCACCCGCCTCCCTGACACAGTGCGTGCTGTCAAGGACCACTTCCTAGCTCGCTGCCCCACTGAGCTCACCATTGCCCTCCTCGAGAAGGAACTGCTTGCAGCTGAGACTAGCATAGTCGCTGTAGGTGCCTCTCGTGGCGACCCCCATACCCCGTTCTTTGAGGGGTGTTCTCCTTCCCCCTTCTTCCCTCTGTCGCATCTGCTGCTGCTGTCGACCTCCTTGGTACTGAGAAGGTCGGTACTGCGTCTACTTCAAGCGGGCGCCGCAGCGGCAAGGGCAAAGGGGGCGAGGGTGGTGGCGGTGACGGCGGGGGAGGCGGTGGTGGGGGCGGTGGAGGCGGTGGGGGTGGTGGCGCGACTGGAGGGGCTAGTGGCAGCGGTGGGGGTGGTGGCGGCAGCGGCGCGGGAGGTGGCAGGGGCGGAGGCGGTGGTGGGGGTGGCGGTGGACGAGGCGGCGGCAGGGGTTGGGGTAGTCGAGGAGGTGGCGGCGGCGGTGGTGGTCGTGGAGGCGCTGGCAGTGGCCAGGGCCAGCAGCACACTCCGTCGCCCCAGGAGGTCCGTGAGTGGTACTCTCTGCACAAGGGGGGGGGGTGGCTTTAGCTGCACGTACGTCATTCGCACTGGTGACCGCACTGGTCAGCAGTGTGGACGACCGCACGCCACACAGCGCTGCTTCGCTCGTCTCGACGACGCTTGGCATGTTCAGTTCCCTTAGGCCACTGAGCTGCCCCGCTGGATTGATCTCCTGAAGAAGGGGATTGATATCTATGCTCTAGACTTTGATGCTATTCTATCTGCTATGTATGTGATGTCTACTAGTGGAGAGGGTGCTGAGTACCTGTGTGTACCGCCCGACCCGGGCATTAGGACTAGTGCGTCTGCCGCTCCAGGTACTCGCGTGTCGGCTATCCCAGGTGCTGGTAAGGCAGCTGCTCTAGGTGCTTGTGCGTCTGCCCCCCTTGGTACTGAGTCGACTGCAGCACTGCACACCTTCACACTAGACTCATGTGCCTCTCGCTGCTTCTTTCGTGACCGCACTGCCCTTGAGCAGCTTGCTCGGCCAGTTGCTGTCTCCCTTGCTGACCCCTTTGGGGGTCCGGTCATTGCGACCTCTTCCACTGTCCTTCCCTGTCCTGCGGTCCCGTCGGGCACACAGTCAGGTCTCCACCTCCCCTCGTTCTCTACGAACTTGGTGGCAGGATGTGCGCTCCAGGACGGGGGTGTTCACCAATTCACCCCTGCCTACGAGCGCGTGACACACTGTACGTGTGCTCGTACGGGCCGTCACTTGGCTACCTTCACTTGGCAGCCGGGGTCGAACCTGTACACACTGACCACTGAGTCCCCTCAGGCTGCTGCGTCTGCGTCTGCGTCCGCGTCAGGTCAGCTGTCGGCCCCCTGCTCGTGTCACTCTCTGGCGCACGAGACTGTCCTCGCGCACCACCGCCTTGGCCACCCGTCTGTGCAGCGGCTTCGTGCCATGCACTCCCGGTACCTTGTCTCTGGCCTTCCCAGGGTCCTTCCTCCCCTCCCTCCCTCACCTGCTCCTACCTATCTCCCCTGTGTCGAGGGACGGCGGCGCGCCGCTCCTCACTCCTCCTCGTTTCCCCCGACGACTGCTCCCTTGCAGACGCTCCACATGGACGTGTGGGGCCCAGCCCGCGTCCGTGGTCAGGGTCAGGAGAGGTACTTCCTGATAGTTGTTGACGACTACTCGCGCTACACCTCGGTCTTCCCCTTGCGCACCAAGGGTGAGGTCCCTGATGTCTTGATCCCTTGGATCCGCAGAGCCCGTCTCCAGCTCAGCGAACGTTTCCACTCGGACTTTCCTGTCCTGCGCTTGCACTCTGACAGAGGTGGTGAGTTCTCCTCCGACCTCTTGGCAGCCTACTGTGCTGAGCACGGCATTGAGCAGTCGTTCACGCTTCCGGCCTCTCCACAGCAGAATGGGGTTGCGGAGCGCCGCATTGGCCTGGTCATGGAGGTCGCCCGTACCTCCTTGATCCATGCGGCTGCCCCCCACTTTCTGTGGCCGTTTGCGGTCCGGTACGCTGCACATCAGCTCAACCTCTGGCCCCGTGTCTCCTTGCCAGAGACCTCGCCCACACTGTTGTGGACGGGGGAGGTTGGCGATGCGTCGCGTTTCCGAGTCTGGGGATCTCGAGCTTTTGTCCGCGATACGTCTGCGGACAAGCTCTCCTCCCGTGCTGTTCCCTGCGTCTTCCTCGGCTTTGTCCCGGGCGCGTCTGGTTGGAAGTTTTACCACGCCACCTCGCGCCGAGTCTTGCCCTCTCAGGACGTCACTTTTGACGAGTCCGTCCCCTACTACCGCCTCGTCCCCTACCGCACTGCCCCGCTCCCCCCCCCCCTGCCTCTCTTCCTCGCACCAGGTGCTGCTGTTGTAGACCCCCTCCCCCCTCAGGGTGCCGCTCCCTCAGGTGTGTCTCAGGTAGACCCGGTTGAGCGTGCTGAGGTAGCTGTCGAGTCTCGTCCTGCTGGGGGTGCTGAGCCTGGGGGTGCTGAGCCTGGGGGTGCCGGGACTGGGGGTGCTGAGCCTGGGGGTGCGGAGCCTAGGGGTGCGGAGCCTGGGGGTGCGGAGCCTGGGAGTGCTGAGCCTGGGGGTGCTGAGCTTCGGGGTGCTGAGCCGCAGAGTCCGGAGTCTGGGGGTTCTGAGTCTGGAGGTGCTGAGCCTGGGAGTCTTACACCTGGAGGAGCCCTCTCCTCGGAGCAGCTGCGTGAGTGGTACTTACAGTACTGCAGCCTCAGGAGAGGTACCTTTGGAGCCAGGCGTGCTACTGGGACTGGTGCTAGTGCTTCTCCTCCTAGTCGGGAGCTCCCCTCCCGTGAGCGGATCCGTGAGTGGTACGAGCGGCGCTGCACTCTTCGGAGTGGCGCGCCTCGTGTCGCGGACCCTGCTGCCGTGGGTACTGCTGCTGGTGCTGAGGACCCGGGTGTTGGAGCTGGTGCTGGTGCTGAGGACCCGGGAGTTGGAGCTGCTACTGGTGCTGAGGACCCAGGTGTTGGAGCTGCTGCTGGTGCTGAGGACCCGGGCATTGGAGCTGTTGCTGGTGCTGAGGACCCGGGCGTTGGAGCTGCTGCTGGTGCTAAGGACCCAGGTGTTGGAGCTGCTGCTGGTGCTGCGGACCCGGGCGTTGGAGCTCCTGCTGGTGCTGGGGACCCGGGCGTTGGTGCTGGTGGTGGTGCTGAGGACCCGGGAGTTGGAGCTGCTGCTGAGGCTGAGGACCCTGGCGCTGGTGTCTCTGCTGATTCTTGGTCAGCTCCCTCCTCCTTGTCCTCCTCCCTCCTTAGGGTGTCCTTCGTCTGTCCAACAACAGTCGCAGCTACTGTCTGCCTCCTCTCTCCCTGCTTCTGCTCCTTACACTGGTCCGACTGGAGGTCTTACTGAGCGTCGTGAGCCTGAGTCTCGTCCTGCGTCGCCTGAGCCTCGTCGTGCGTCGCCTGTCCGTTACTGCTCTCACTAGTAGTCGTGTCCCACGTCAGAGTCTTCTTGCTGTCCCAGGCACTCACTAGATGGTGCTTCGTCCATCCACTGCTCCACAGCGTGTCCCACTGCCGTCTCCTCCTGCTTCCTCTTTTCCTGCTCTTGCTGACCCGGGGTCAGACTCCCTTCGTGCTGCCAGTCCTACTGTCACGCGTCTCCTGGCTACTGTTGTCACTGACCCTTCCTTTGAGTCCGCTGCTGCGTCTGCCTTAGTTGCTGAGCTTGTCGACTTTGCTGCCACCTGTCGTCTAGACTACGCTACTAGCCTGGTTGCTGAGTCTGAGTCTGTCTGTCCTCCGTCCGTCGGGGGTGATTGTGCTCTTGGCATTGACATCCTTGAGGACAGGCAGGAGGAGTTTGAGTGCTTTGCTGCCGCTTTGCCCCATCTCGTGTCCATGCTTGTTGCCCCTGAGGGAGACCCGGATGCACAAGACATCCCTACCCCACGCTCTTACGCAGAGGCGATGGCCGGTCCCTACTCCTCTCAGTGGCAGTCGGCCATGGACACAGAGATGGCTTCTTGGAAGTCCACATGCACCTACGTCGACGAGGTTCCCCCGCCTGGGGCGAACATCGTCAGTGGCATGTGGATTTTCAGGGTGAAGCGGCCGCCGGGCTCTCCGCGTGTCTTCAAGGCGCGTTACGTTGCACGAGGCTTCAGTCAGCAAGAGGGAGTTGACTTCTTAAAGACATTCTCCCCGACCCCGAAGATGACCACTCTTTGGGTTCTGCTGCACGTCGCCGCTCAGCGTGACTACGAGCTCCACTCTCTTGACTTCAGCACTACTTTCCTACAGGGCAGCCTGCACGAGGAGATCTGGCTGCGCCGTCCACCTGGCTTCACTGGGTCGTTCCCTCCTGGTACCCAGTGGAGCCTTCGACGACCAGTGTACGGTCTCCGCCAGGTGCCACGTGAGTGGCACGACACACTGAGGACTACACTTGCGGCTCTTGGGTTTGCGCCGTCTACTGCTGACCCGTCGCTGTTTTCTACGCACCGACACCTCACTGCCGCCGTTCTACATCCTCGTGTACGTCGACGACTTGGTCTTTGCCACTGCTGACACTACGGCACTCGCCCACGTGAAGTCGGAGCTGCAGAAGAGACACACGTGCACAGATCTGGGTGAACTGACAAGCTATCTTGGCTTGCGGATCACCCGGGACAGAGCACGCCGTACCATCACCTTGACTCAGTCACACATGGTGCAGCAGGTCCTTCAGCGCTTCCGCTTCACGTACTCCTCGCCTCAGCCTACTCCTCTGCCTACCGGTCACTCGCTCTCAGCTTTGCCTTCGGATGAGTCCGTAGAGCCGGGTGGCCCGTATCCAGAGCTTGTGGGTTGCCTCATGTACCTGATGACCTGCACTCGACCTGACCTTGCATACCCTCTTAGCATTCTTGCACGCTATGTCACTCCCGGCCGTCACCGGAAGGAGCACATGGATGCAGCTAAGAGGGTGTTGCGTTACTTGTGCAGTACGTCGGGCATGGGGCTAGTGCTTGGAGGGCGAGTCCCAGTTGTTCTCACTGGGCACTCAGACGCTTCTTGGGCAGACGACCAGGCTACTTAGCGGTCGTCTCTAGGGTTACTCCTTCAGTCTCGGCTCTCGTTCAGTTTCTTGGCGTTCTACTCGCTCTTCTTCTGTTCTCAGCTCCAGTTGTGAGGCTGAGATCTACGCCACAGCCATGGCGGCCCAGGAGCTACGCTGGCTCACCTACTTGCTGACCGACCTTGGAGAGTAGCCTCGTTCTCCTCCAGTGCTGTACGTCGACAACAAGGCAGCCATTGCCTTGTGTCAGGAGCACAGACTGTGATAATTGAAACGAGAATGATTCAACTATGAAAGAGTTGGGTACAAGTACTAACCCTAATTGGGTTGTACCCCATATGGGCTACCCCACTACAGCCTACACAAATGTATAAGCTATATGTTCTGACACACCCCCATAGGCAAAGTGGGGAGAACAAGGGGTCACAAGGACCAGTCAAGCAAAGCAAAGCAAAGCAAGCCCAGGGTGGATCACAAAGTCACCACACATTCCGCGCACAAGTTCAAGGCCATAAGGCCAGTTCACATGCAGGATTACATATATATATAAGGCTAGACAAGCAAGAGCAGGTATATATATATGTAACAGTACAAACAAGGTCAAGGGGTGAGCAAGTGAGGCAAGACAGGGACAAGACCCAGCTGAGTGAAGAAGCGCTGATGATCACAAGGCGGAAGTGCCTTGGTGAAAACATCAGCAGTGTTGGCCTCAGAGGCCACGTACGCAAGCCGCAACTGACCACGCTGCTGTAGCTCACGAGCAAGGAAGTAGCGGAGAGCAATGTGCTTTGTTCTGTGCTCCTGTCTCTGCTCTCGA